ATACTCTGAATTCTTTATCACCCACCTCACTCCTCTTCCACTTTTTCCCACAGTTAGAATTACTAGGGACTGTAACTGCATTTCTTTCAAGTGTATTATTTTTATTTCTTTAATATTTTAGTGCTTGCTCATGTTGCTAGGATAAGATAAATCTTCTATTTTTACCAGAACTATGCTACATTAGTTACTTTTTTGTTGCTGTAATAAAACACCATGACCACAGGCAACTTATGGAAGCATTTATTTTGGCTTTTGGTTCCAGAGGGAGAGTCCATAATGTCAGGGGAGGCATGGCAGGAGGCAACTGGAGTATGATGGCTAACCCTGGGTGTCAACTTGACTGAATCTGGGATTAACTGAAATGAGAGATCTTCTTGATTGGATCATCTGAAGCTGGAAGACACACACTAAATGTGGGCATTACCTTCTGATGGCAGCCTGTATAAAAGGCCATGGCAGAGGAGAACACCTGGCTTCTTGCTGCTTACCTTCTCTCTCGCTGGTGAGTTAGTCCTGCTGCTGTAGACTGAAGACTAGCTGATCTTTTGGAATTCGTCAGACCTTCAGTGCCAGATTGGGACTACTGAGACATCCAGCCTTGTGGACTGAGCGACTACAGATTCTCCAGTGTGGTGCAGCCATTGTTGGACTACTCGGACTCTATCCTGTGAGCTAAGCTGATAAATCTCTATACCTATATATTCATTCTGTTTCTTTGGCGAACCCTAATAAATACATGGAGCAAGAAGCTGATAGCTCCCATCTGAACAAACAGCAGAGAAAGTGATTGGAAGTGAGTTGAGGCTATGAACTCAGTGATGTGCTTTCTCCAGCAAGGCCACACCTCCTAAAGGTTCCATGACCTTCCCCAAGCAGTGCCTCCAGGTGAGGACTATATACCAAGTGTTCAAATACTTGAGCCTATGGGGAACATTTCACATTTAAACTAACACATATGGCTTTTATAAAGGGGGTATAGTAGGTAAGTTAGAATAAGTTGGAGCTTGGGGCTGGGGTAGTCACTCAGTAGGTAAGAGTACTTGTTGTGTAGGCATTAGAACTGGAGTTCAATTCCAAGAATTCATGTAAATGCCTGTAACCTTAATGCTGGAAGGGTAGGGGGAGGCAAGATCACTGGAGCTTGCTAGCTGCCAGTTTAGCTCCAGATTCGGTGAGGGATCCTATCTCGAGGGTGTAAGGTGGAAAGCTATAGAACAGGACACCTGACATCCTCTCTGGCCTCACATGTATGCCCCCCACGTATGTGTACATATACCACACACACATACACAATAACAAAGTTTTTAATAGGATAAGCTGGAACTCAACATAGTGCAGTGTGGATGCAAAGGGAAGAAAGGGCCTTCTCTCCCTTTTTGCCCTCTTGAAACCAGGCCACAGGAGAGGCATGGTATACCGCCAGACCCCTCTATAGCTCTCCCTTAATAAAGTATCCCTTTCGTATAACTCTCAATTCATTGTAAAGAGGCACAAGAACCTGGAAACTCCAGTTTCTGCCCTCTAGACTCATATCCATGCCTGTAAAATTTTGGTTCAGCAACCAAGAGAAAGGATATATAATGATTTCAAACTAAACACCCTAGGACACAGGAATTCCTACAACTAGAAATCCAAGCCTCCTTTCAGATCAACAGACAAAATAGAGAGATAAAAATAGGGAGTCCTTTTAGGCAGGGACTATAGTCTACCATGAGCTTGGAAGTACTTACAGAATACGGTTTTTTTTTTTTAAGTTTCATAGATTTATGGATCAGTGTAATAAACTCCATTTAAGGGCTGGAGAGATGACTCAGCAGTTCAGAACACTGGCTGCTCTTGCAGAGGACCTGGGTTCGATTCCCAGCAACCACATGGCAGCAAACAACACCCTGTCCGTAACTCCAGTTCCAGGGGAATCCAGATGACCTCTTCTGACCTCCACAGGCATTGTACAACATGAGTGCACTTATATACATGCTGGCAATTCACTCATACACATAGAATAAAAACAATAAATAAATTTTAAAAATTACATTTTTAAGAGTGAGCCCAAACTCAGAGGACACTAGTTCCCCTAGTTAGCTATTAGAAATGTGTGTCTCCCAGAAATGTGCCGATGGATCTCTCTTGTCCCCTTAACCTGTGCAGATGGTCTGTGTCCTCACCCTGTACCAATGGAACTGTCTCTCAAACCCTGTTTCAGTTCAAGTTCAGCTCTTAATCTTCACAGGCCACCTGGTGTTTTCATCCCTCCTTCACAGTCATCCAAGGTCCACATCCTTCCCAACCTTCACTCTGTTCAGTGGAGGTGGGGTGCAACCTTTCACTTTGATATGTTAATTCTCAAGTATATGCACATTCATTATCTTTTTGAGTAGAATATAGAACAGGTTGCCAATGAGACACTCCCATCACCAGACTCAGAGCGCATGGTTTTTCTGGGGATACTCAAAAGTCATTAGTCCAGATTATATCCATTAATAAAAGTCATTCCCTCAGATCTTCTGAACCCTTTGCCAAGTTTCCTCCATAGGTCTCACTCTACAGTTATACTATATCAAATCAAGGGAACTGACATTAGTACAATGTTGTGTTTATTAATATTTTATTTCTATTTATATGCTGAGCAATATTACAAGGTATAGATTTGTAGCCACCTCCCTTATCCCTTAGGGACAATAGTGCTCACCTCACCAAGAGTTAACAGACTTCTTTGGGCTTTGCTGATACAGAGGCTGAGGGAAAGAATGCCTGCTCCCAGGATGTTGGGAATGGGCTAATAAGACAACTACTTCTGGAACACTGGGAATAGGCTGCCATATCCCTCACCCTGTTTATGCATGCATCAAGAGAGGTCTGTTACTGGGCCAGTCGCCACAGCCTTGGGTGCACTGTGCTGTTTTCTTACTATAATCATAGAGAAATTCCTATGTATTTTTCACTGCTTGAGCATTTATCACATGCAAACTCTGTGTGAACTCCAAATACTGAGCTTCCTTATAAAAGCTTCCCAGGAGGGCAGTAAAAGCACTCCTGAGCAGTACAGCCTGGAGTGTCCTGGTCTCAACTGCAGTTCCTCAGCATCAGTTACTTTGCAGCTGCCACATAAATTTATCAGTTTGAGCAAGTATTCACCTGCTGTGGGACATTTTGGCTGTTTCAAGTTTCTGGCTACTACTACTACTACTACTACTACTACTACTACTAAAAAAAACCAAGTAGGAACAATAGCCTAGAGGTCTTTGGGTAAGCACATGCTATCATTATTCTGAGAGGACTACCTAGGACTACAACTATTGTAAAGTGAATGAATATGTATGTATGTATGTATGTATATACATATATATGTGTGTATTGAATATATATAGTTTTTTAATTTTAGATTTCTTTTTTATTTATCTGTATGGGTGTGAGCCTGTATGAGTTTCTATACACCATGCTAGTGCAGGAGCCTGTGGAGGCCAGAAGAAGGCATCAGATTCTCTGCAACTGGATTTTCAGGCAGTTGTGGGCCACCATGTTGGTGCTGGGAATAAAACTCAGGTATTCTGAAAGAGCATCAAGTACTCTTAACCACTGTACCACTCTGCCCCCTAGTTTTTGGGGTTTGTTTGAGATAGGTTCTTCCTGTAGCCTCAGCTGGCCTAGAGCTCGCTATGTAGATGAGGCTGGCCTTGAACTCACAGAGATCTGCCTGCCTCTGCCTCCCAAGTGCTGGGATAAAAGGCATGCACCACCATTCCCGGCTTCTAGCCCCCCCCCCCCCCGTTTTTAACAGAAACTTCCAGATTATTTTCCAGCATGGTCAAAGTAGTATGGGAGACCCAGTCTCTCAACATCCTCACCATTTGGCAATGTCATTTTTGGTGAAGTTCTATGTCTTTTGCCCATCTGCTAGTTGGAATTTTTTCTTGTTCCGTGATTGTGTCCTGAGGGGTATTTGTACCTCTGAGGGGCGGGGCCTGCTGTGGAGAGTTAGCAACCGAAAGGGAGCTGCGGAGGGAGGAGCGTTGGCACCATCTTGGCAGCAGCCTGGTGGAGAAAATGGCCCCAGTGTGTAGCCTGTGTGGACGTGGTAGGGGGCATTTACCGACCTGGGGTGAAAACACACGCCCATGAGGCCTGGACTAAAGCAAACGGAGACTGTGGGCGGGGCGCAGAGGCAATCTGGAACCGCTGGGTGCTGAGCCACAGAGCAGGATGGGGTACCGGGTGTTCGTCTTTGTAAGTTACTCTATTTCTCCTATCTTGCATATAAAGTATGAAAAATTCAGACAAAGATGTGTTATATGGCTTGTCTAATAGTGCGAGGAGCAAGGGACCCTAAGAGAACTCGAGCGACAGTGATTTTATATATATATATATATGAGTACTCTGTCAAATGGCTCAATATTTTTTGTTTTTGCTTTTTGAAACAGGAACTCACTATGTAGCCCGAGCTTGC